TAAGTTTTTTTTATTAGCTAGTAAACTAGTAAAACTACACATTCTGAACAATTATAGTTTTAAGCAGTGTATTAGCAGTTAGTATAAAAATAGGGCACAATCTATGTTAATATGAAAGAGTTTTCCATATTGATTTTTCAGGGTTTTTTTTTACCTGCATTTTAAATTACGCATAGCATTTTGTTTTCGGGTTACAGGGTTACAATGGATAATGAACAATGGATAACGGATAATGTCCTGGAAAATAACTAGTACCTTTTCCATTTTTCTAGATATTTTTTTTACAGTGTACTAACTAAACAACAATCACAGGTACAAGCTACTAACAAGGTGTATCATAAATGAACAATTATTCAAATATTCAATTATTATTATTAAATTAAACAATTGCAAATAGCAATAACTTAATTCATGTGAATTGTGTACTGCTAGGCATCTTTGGTTTCCTTATTTTGTGTGATTTAGATGGAAAATGTGTGCCTTTTTATCGTTTGAGTCACTTATCAAAAGTTGCTAAAAGTTGCCAAATAAATTTTAAAAACAGCTAAATTTGTTGCTAGGTGCTTTTGGAAGAAAAAGTTGCTAGGGTAGTGTGAAAAGTTGCTAAATTTAGCAACAAAATTGCTAAGTTGGCAACACTGGCACGGTTTGATCTTCAGCTGACCAATCAGCAGAAAGGGGTGTTTAATTCCCGCCCACGTGTAGAAATTGAATATTCAAGCTGTTTATTAATTTTTCCACCCATGAACGAAAAACGAAAATTTAAGCTGAATTTTTGTTTTTCGTTTTTTTGGAAAAAAACAAAAAAACGAAAAAGGAGCCGTTTTCACATTTTTCTCCATTGAATATTAAACCAAAAAATGAATGATCTAATGATACACAGATTACAACACAGTACAAGATCCGTATCTGTCTTTAGTTTTGCCTTTTTTTTCCCCTCGCAATTTTATTTTGGACACTAGAGTTTTACCAGGAAAAATACCACCAAAAATCTAGTATTATTTTACTCTTAAATTTAACACAATTTTTAAACATTAAGTAAATAAGTAAAATAGTTTTAATTAGTTACATAATGAAATGTCTTTTTATTTTTAAATTAATAAATCCATAAAATAGCCCTCAAAATGCATAGTCAAAACTTTAGTACAAGTCATGTACCAAAGTTTAATACTTAGGGTTAGTGGTTTGTTCAGATCTTTTTATTCTAGACTGTCTTAGCAAACACCACTAATAAATTAAGCTAATTTAATCTTCATGCCCTCCCTGATAATATGAATAAAAGATGAAAAGGCATACATTAAAACGCTCCAGTAGAATTAGTATTCTTCTCGTAGGAAACATGATAATATACATAAACAACACCTGTCACTGTTAGAAATGGTGTAAGATTTCAGACATTTGTTATTTGCATTCTCCAGAAGCGTATTTTAAAAAACTGTCAGCAAACTAGATTAAGCTAGTTTATCCTTCTCTAAAAGGAACACAAGTCATACAAATTAGAAGTAACAAAATCTTGTGGGAACTGTGATTTATGGTTCATGTCACTGCAAAATTGTCCACATCAGCAAAACGCAATTAGTATGCATCCTTCGCTTTTAGCCCCAAACAAAATTATTAATCATGATACAAACAAAACTATCACTTCAGATCAGTGAGGTGTAGGGGACACGACCCCCATCGAACGCATATGCCTCGAAGCTACAGAAGAGCCTGGAAAGCAAGAGCAATTCAGCCAATCGGATTCATCCATTTGGATCCAAATTGAATGATGTGAGGGAATCTCCCTCCTGACTGATGATGATTCAGAGATGACAAGATCTGGATCCTCTGAGGTCCTCCGAAATACTTGAAATACATCAGATCTGATTTCTCTCTGGGAACCACACTTGAGGTTGTTGATTAGGATCAAATTAATTTTTGTGTACTATTGCCAAGTGAATACATATTAAGAAAACATCAAAGACATCTGAATTCTAGTCAAATCAAAGAGAATGACTACACTGAACAAGAAAGAGTCCGCTTGAAACATAATTTTGCAAATTGTATGCTAGTATCTCCTGGTGATGCCTAAATGGGTCAACAATACCTGAGAAAAATTCTTGAAATTATCAGCTAATGGACCACATTTCTATATCCAGGGTTTTGAGCCAATCACTTAAGCCATACATCCCATTAAAATGGCACATGGGTACAGTCAAATCCATTGCACTATATATTCCTAGTGCTCCACATGAGATTTATTTTAGAATCTGCCAATTTTTTACTGGCAGCTGTCAGGAGCTACTCAAACACAGCTAATGTGAAGTAACAGCGCTCTTAGGCAGAGTATTTTGGTGTTTATGTGTGATAAAATGAGAACTGTTCCCTTTTGGTACGATACTGACAATCTCACATGCTCGCTCACACAGAATTGGCCATTTTCACAGAACTGCTGCCTGTGCTTTCCCTTGAAGAGCATCACCAAAAACCGGCAGACCCTGAACATGAGAGACAGCAATCCATTAATCACAGATATTATGACTGGCATTTTCATGAATGCTTTTCCACAAGTCCTGAGGATTTAAGCGATGCATTAGGTGTTAGCGGTGGCGTTCTGAAAGGCAAATCAACTCAAATCCCAGAGAAGCCAATTAGGCGCAGCTTTATAATTCATAGAGTAACGAACTTAAAAATCTAAATCAAAACAAACCGGTAAACAAAGCACACCCACACTGAGGGCATTATGCACAGATTCGGATAACAGTGGAACATTACTGAGCCATTTGTGCCAGAGAGTCCCGAAGAGCATTTCCTCTGTGACACTGTTTACACTCCATTCATCTCCACACTAATACATTTATATGCCTAGTCGTTTAATCAGCAAGATGAGAGATGTTTCATTATTGCTAATAAAGTTTTTTTTTTATCCAATTAATGATACAAGCTGCTGCCTGAACCTAAACTGAAATCACTTAGACAGGAAATAAGGAAGATAAAAATCAGTCCTCTCTGATTTATGATGCACTAACGTCAGATGGATGCAACAGGGAAACAAGCAAACCGCATAGATGACAGTGGCCAAGCTCTGACCTTCATCGGGAAGCTGTCAATAAGCAATACAGTCTAACAAATGAAAATATGGACAATTGACAGTGGCTGTGGAAGGGAAGGAAGTAAGTGGACAGCTGCAGCAGAGACGTGATTCAGTTATATTGTTGTCACGGGTAACTGCCATGGTAACTACCAATCGCCACGCTTGTGTCCTCTACGTGCACTTTGCATCATTGTCAAATGAAGTATGAGGAATAAAAATGAAAGATAATTATGCAAAGCTGTTGGAGTTGCTCATCTACAGTAATCAAGGTAATATTTTTTCAGCATGTCAGCATAAAACTGTATTCGCAACCTTTTTTCTTCCATTATCAGACATACACTACTGTCAAAGTTCTGGGTCAGAAATATTTTTTTTTTTAAAGAAATTAGTACTTTTATTCAGCAAGGATACATTAAATTGAGCAAAAGTGACAGTAAAGACATTTATAATGTTCCAAAAAAATGTATTTCAAATAAAGGCTGTTCTTTTGAAATGTATATTTTTTCAAATATTCCTGAAAATGTTTTCACAAAAATATTAACTAGCACAACAGTTTTTAACATTGATATTAATAAGAAATGTTTCTTAGCACCATATTAGAATTATTTCTGAAGTATCATGTGACACTGAAGACTGGAGTAATGGCTGCTGAAAATTGACATCACATGAATAAATGGCATTGTAACAAATTTAATTATATAATTTGCAATATTTGTTATAATATAATAGTTGCAATATTTCACAATATTACTGTTTACTGTTTTTTTTTAATCAAATAAATGCAGCCTAGGTGAGCATAAGAGAATTACTTCATGTATATTTCATATATAATAAAAGTCATACCAACCTCAAACTTTTAGACAGTAGTGCATTTTCTTAAAAACATAAACAAGGTAAATTGATTTCACTTTGGCTTCTTTTTGAAGGTACTCTCAAAGCATGTCGCTTCACTGTATCAAACCTCTGCAGATAGTTTAAAAAAAGACTAAGGAAAGAATGAGGTATATTAAGACACATGATAGTAGTACATGATAAGCAGGGCATGCAGGTGACTTTGAAATGGGGCTGGGCATGCAAGTGAGCATAAATTAGGGTGTGGCCACAGAGTTTTCATTCACATTCCTCATTCATGTCCCATGCAGAGCGCTGTGCTCAGTACCTGGTGATCTCGGCGTCAGGGAGCAGGCCTACGTGATAGTGAGGGAAGTGGGGGATTGAGTGCATGGGGCTTTTATCAAACTCCACGGGGGAGTAGAGATGGGGAGAGGGGGTACTAACAAAGGATGCTGATGTACGTGTCCATAAGCACATGTACATATGAGTTTCTCAGAATTATGTGCGGTCCTATATCCTCACAGAAAGATGTTAGGTATTTGCAACTGTTTTAAACATTTTGTGTATAATATTATGGTGCATGTTTGTGTGCATGACTTTCCTCTAACGATGCATGGAGATTGCGGCAACATAACCAACTCCTACACACCCTGCATCTTCACACTCTGTTCCCCTAAACCAAAATGACACATGCAAAAACAAAAACATGTCCCCAAACCCCCCCCCGAACATCTGCCTAATGTCACACCTATTTAATTATTCAACTTGTGAGTGATAATGTAAGATTACATTTATTCACAATTATGCACACATACATGAAATGCTCCATTCTATATTTCACTTCAAATCAATTCCAGAGTGTCTGAATGTAAAAAAAAATATTTAGTGGCGACAATATTCTGCCATATTCCCTCAGATTCTCCTGTGGTAAACAGTAGAGTTTAAGGGGGCTGAATTTCCAGATGAGCACATATTGCATAAGAACTCTCTGCCTACACATCTAATAATCATGAATGTCCAGTTCATTACAGGTGTGCTTAGTAATAATTGAGTACTGACCCAAGGTAGCACTGCTGAGTGTGTATGTACATGACGGAAGTAAGAAATGTTCTACTTCTGCAGCTGTATTATTTATGATGATTGAATGACCAGGCTGTGCGTGTATGTGTGTGTGTTTTTGCGGTCCTATAGCCTCACATAAGTATGTAAAGCATTTGCAATTGTTTTTAAAAATTTTTGTATAACATTATGGTGTATGTTTGTGTGCATGACTTTCCTCTAACGATGCATGGAGATTGCGGCAACATAACCAACTCCTACACACCCTGCATCTTCACACTCTGTTCCCCTAAACCAAAATGACACATGCAAAAACAAAAACATGTCCCCAAACCCCCCCCGAACATCTGCCTAATGTCACACCTATTTAATTATTCAACTTGTGAGTGATAATGTAAGATTACATTTATTCACAATTATGCACACATACATGAAATGCTCCATTCTATATTTCACTTCAAATCAATTCCAGAGTGTCTGAATGTAAAAAAAAATATTTAGTGGCGACAATATTCTGCCATATTCCCTCAGATTCTCCTGTGGTAAACAGTAGAGTTTAAGGGGGCTGAATTTCCAGATGAGCTTATGCTTCCTCGAACACACAGACCACGTAAACCTCTTACAGAGAAGAGGGGGTTTAATCTGTTTCTCTCACCTCTGGGAAAGGTCACGTTCTTTGTTTGGAATGCATGTTTGCATGCACGTTTAGCATTCATGGTGAAACTAGGAATTTTTCACAGCAGGGTGACATTAACTGTGTTTCACAGTGGGAGACGTTATCAAGGCTGTCAGTTAAAATGGACAAAACATGGTTGAGAAATTACAGAGGCAGTTTTGAACTTTGGTATTTATTTAGTAATTAGTTATTCATCTAAAATACTCTGGATTGGCAGGAAAACAAAATGTCTTCCTCCGTGGATTTATGAAGCTTATTATGGTGAGCGTGGTCATAAGCCAATAAGGCTAGTGGAATTCTGGGATTCAAATTCAACATTTGTCCAAGAGGAAACAGCCCCAATACTGTTAAACGACAATTGCTAGACTCTCATAACATTGCTATCAAAAGCCTCAGAGGCCCAAAACTACTGCAGGGTACATTAACACATCAAGAAGCCAGCCGACAGAAAGAGTGTGAGATGAGTTAATCAAAACCGAAGTCGGTTGTGACGTTCTTTGCTATTCTAAATTCACAGTTCTCATGGAGTTTGATAAGTCCTCAGATTCAGTTCTGTGCTTCAGAAAACTCCAGGGATGATGCTCAGTATTCATATCACTCTTAGGTTCAGGTTGCATTGCAGTGTACCAAACACATCCCAAGCCCTGCAGTCCTGAACATATGTCTCCCAAAACACCCTTAAAAGCAAGCCAGCATGCTAAAACAAGCTCATGCTGTCAACACACACTGATATCATTACAGATTTAAGAGTTTGAATCAGTATGATCTTTCTGTCCTTTTTCTGTAATAAACAGCTTATGCTGTGTGGTTGCTAGGGTGTTGGTAGTTTCTTACTGAAAAAAGATCACCTTTAAATCTCTATGATATTCTGTACCAACATGTCTATGATATTGCATTGCTTTGCTCAGGTTTACACAAAACAGATGAATGTGAATATGCCAATGGTTACATCGATATCACTGCAGTTTGGAAATTAAATGTCCGGTGACTGGCAGTAAAATGTTAATGCTTTATTGCATTTAAAAATAATGAACTACCTAGGATAAACCCTACCCAAAACATAACCGATAGAGTTAACTAAGAAAAGTTCAAATAAATATGCATTACTTTGAAGCAACCACACCAATTTAATTGCTTCTTTGCGTCTTTGAGCTTATTTATCGAGTGATGTATTTCGTAGTACTCAGACCTGTGTGCTCCGCAAGTGCAATGCTGCACCAGGTGAGCTACTGAGCAAGTTTACCATGTCAGAAAAGCCATACAAACAAGAGCTGGTTATGTGATGCAAATAGTAAAATGTATTTGTTTACAAATCACGCATTATGATAATCATGAAAAAAAAGTACTGTGCAAAAAACCATGCGAAAACTGTAAATAATTATTAATTGATAATCTGCCACTGTAATCATAATTTGTGTGAAAAGGAAAAAATAGGTAGAGCCTATGTTGAGCCTATGTTGTTCTACAAATTCACAACAAACAAGGACCACTAAAAATCCAGGAACATAAAAACAGAACGGAACTAACAGGACATGCTTATGCTGTGTGGTTGCTAGGGTGTTGGTAGTTTCTTACTGAAAAAAGGTCACCTTTAAATCTCTATGATATTCTGTACCAACGTGTCTATGTATAGTAGTAAAGGATGGGACAGTAAATCCCAAAACAATCCCATCACTAGGTGTGATGACGCTGCTTGATTGTCTTTTGGATTTCCATGGGACACATGGGGGAAGGGGGCTACACAGTCTACCTGCGGGCAGTGGCGTCTGGTAGAAAGGGAGGGAATTACCGTAGGAAGGAAAAACCATCCAACCTGTTAATGTCCTCTTCCCCCAGCAAGTGCTTGGGCAGGGGGGAATATCGGCCAGGGGAGATGGGCGGAAGACTGGACTTATATTCCAGAGTGCCGTTATTACCAGGGGAAGAGATATGATTTTCCATAGCGGGTGAGAATGCTGTAGAGAGACAGAGAGAGAGTGTATGTTACACACACTAGCTAATCATAATGCTGACTTTAAAAAAAAGTAAACATTTCCATTTTACTATTAAATTTCTAAGCATTATTCATTTTTCTCTAGCATTATTCTGGTTTAAGAAAGCATATGTATTACATAATGAAGGGTGAATATGATAAGAATCACTCACAGTGTGTGATATCAGGTGGCCCATAGGGGTCTGAGAGATAGACACTGGTGGGTTTCCCAACCTTAAGGTATACCACATCTGACGTGTTCTTCAATATGGCCACTGCTTCTTCATGGGTCACCTCTTCTAGAGTGTAGTTATTCACCTGGGTGAAAGAGAAAACACACAAGATGTGTTAAGCGGGCAATCCAGAGTTACGTAAACAGTTACGCTCTAGTGGTCAAGAATGCTGTTATCACTCGGGATGTGCTGGTTTCCCACACCACCTGCAATACTGAAGCCAAGCCCTATAGGATTTTGAGAAATGACAAATTAAAAGTGTTAGCTGTGTCCCAATAGATGCAATAACATCAGACTACATTAACTAATTAAACCTATGTCATTCTTTCACACAGAAGCAATGCTGAATCTTTCAGAAATTCATATTAACTGACTAATAGTAATAAACAGTACTCAAAACTCTCTCAGAGCAGGTAGAACTGTATGCACTTTCCTCAAGCATAATCTAGTTTCTCAGTTTCCTAAAGGTGACAACAAGTGTTGTACTGTAGAGTGTTTTGGATTTGAGGAGTCTACGGTGCCCGAAGCTCTTCCTCCAAATTTGCTGCTGTGTTGTGTGTGTATGTGTATGTGTGATGCATCTTCCTCTATGTGCTCTAAATAATGCATCAAAGCTGTCTTTCTCAGGATATAGTTCTGTTTATTGCTCCACCCAAACGACAACCAGAAAAAGAGGACACAAATTAAAAGTGTTAGCTGTGTCCCAATAGATGCAATAACATCAGACTACATCTAACTAATTAAACCTATGTCATTCTTTCACACAGAAGCAATGCTGAATCTTTCAGAAATTCATATTAACTGACTAATAGTAATAAACAGTACTCAAAACTCTCTCAGAGCAGATAGAACTGTATGCACTTTCCTCAAGCATAATCTAGTTTCTCAGTTTCCTAAAGGTGACAACAAGTGTTGTACTGTAGAGTGTTTTGGATTTGAGGAGTCTACGGTGCCCGAAGCTCTTCCTCCAAATTTGCTGCTGTGCTGTGTGTGTATGTGTATGTGTGATGCATCTTCCTCTATGTGCTCTAAATAATGCATCAAAGCTGTCTTTCTCAGGATATAGTTCTGTTTATTGCTCCACCCAAACAACAACCAGAAAAAGAGGATGTGGTAACTCTCAGGCTCAGTGGAGTTTCAAATCTTGATTTGTTTTACATTTATCTCCGCACCCTAGATATGAATGTGTACATGAGTAATAGCCTATTTTCTTTTATAACAGCAGAAATCAGAAAAAAAAATTATTGGATGCAAACTAGGAATGCAACAAATGAACAAACAAAACTAAAGTAAAAATGATTTTTTGCAGAGCAGTCAACGACCGTGACAGCTCCCTAATGCAAATGTGACAAACAGCTCAGGTAACAGATGGGTTTTATGGTAATTGTAAATCTGAAACCTTTTGGTCCTTTTATGAGTTTGATTTCGGTGACGGTTTCCAGCATTGGTCTCCTCCTGCGCACATAGAGCCTCACAATCGATCCGGCCGCTTTCAGAGCCTCCACTGCCTTACTGTGAGACACCTCCGAGACATCTGCGTCGTTCACACGCAAAATACAGTCATTCACTCTGCGGAGAGAAATAAGAGCGAGGAGTGAGTTTTCAGGAGTCCTCAGTGTGTGGTGAGCCTCCTGCAGAGAGTTCCAGATCACAGCAGCCTGTGGTCCAAGGACAGCCGCCTCTTGGGGCATGCTCACATAGAGCAGCTGAGACCCAGCAAACAAGCACACACACTCAACCAAACCATGAGCATGCACACATGTATATATGCAATATATACACAATGGACTCACCATAAAGCTGAATAGTGTTCAACAACTCAATTTAGTCAGTTTAACATGATGCCTATGGCAACTATTATGATTATGTTTACTAATAATGAATTAAATACGATAGATATTAAAAATGATCTTTACATTAATTTGACAATTTTTAACATTTTAATATTTTATAAATGTTTATATGAGTGTTGTTAGTGTATTGCTATTTTTAACTAAAACAAAATTTTATTTTATTTTTTTAGGTAAAATAAAATAAAAAGTTGAAGTTGAAGTATTAAAATTACAAACACTAAAACCAACATAAAAAATTAATTAATGCTATACAGAAATATTGAAAAAATAAAAACAACAGAAACTAATACAAATAACAAAAGCGCATAACAAAAATACTAGAACTTTAAAGGTGACATATCATGAAAAAGTGAATAAGATTAACCCAGTAACTTTGTTTTGGGAAGCCTTTTTCTGCAAGCGTCTGAGAAAACGAGCGCATCTGATTTCGCTCCCTTGGTGACGTGGCAAAGGGATCTCATTATAATATTACCACACCTTAATCTGTAAGTTTAAGTTTAATAACACGGCTCCGTTATTGTGTTTTCGCAAGCAACAACGGTGTACCAGTTCTAATGCCATGGTGAAAGTTTGAGCAAAACACACTAACTGCTCTGTCATTGGCTGCACAGATGAGCACAGAACACTATTTACAGTCCCAGCCTCGGAGGAGACAAGAGAGCAGTGGATTTATTGATTTATTTAAAGGGGTGGTTGATTGCGATTTCACTTTTTTAATGTTAGTTAGTGTGAAATGTTGCTGTTTGATCATAAACAGTATCTGCAAAGTTACAAAGCTGAAAGTTCAATGCAAACGGAGTTATCGTCTTTTAAAATCCTGGCAGTTTAATGCCAACAAAAACGACTGGTAAGGGAATACAACGAGTTACTTCCTGGGTCCGTTACGTCAAGAACCCAGAATTTTACATAAACCCCGCCTTCGGGAACACGCGCAAAGGGGCCGGGGCCATGCTGCCCTGCTTTAGAGAAGAGGAAGAGAAAACTACAGGTGCACGTAAAAACCTGTTCATATACGAATCGCGATTCTGTCTTCTAACGATTCTAATGGATTCACAAGTTTCAAAATCAATGTTCAAAACCAGCGGTTCTTAATACTGTTCCTCGCGTCGCCCTGCTCTGCACACGCTCTCTCTCTCTCATTCAGATCATCAGCTCAGTGAATACACTTATTTTCACATACTATAGCTATGAGAAGCGTTATACATGGACGCGCGTGCGGTTGCAGAACTGTATTAAAGCTTTAATCAGAATAAAACCGTATATTAAAAGCTAACAGAAGCAGTAGCATTTACAAATAACAGCGTATCTAAAAGTATGAGACAACAACAAACAAAAATCTTAGGCCTACCATTAAAAGCCGTGCTTGCACAGGTTCTGCGCGATCCTCTTCACTAATATCCTCTGCGTCTCAATCGAGCTCAAATTGATAAGCAATATAGACGACGTCATTGTTTATAATACAACCAGAGCACGCTATGTTGAGGGGCGGGACGATTAGACACGTGCTAGAGGCGGTTTTGCCAATCACAACACACTGGGCTAGCTAACCAATCAGAGCCTGTGAAAAATAATGCGTTTTTTAACAAACGAAGCATTAACACGTTAGACTGCACCCCATAAACACAATCAAGCCTAGGTAAAAAACCTTTAATGTGTATTGCTGCTGCCTGCCACACAGATCTAAAATAAACATGCAATTTATTTCCCAGCCGTTTACCTTCACAGACATAACCGACTGTTTTTTGTAACTCATGTGTGTTTTTAACATAAACCTGTGTGTGAATGAGAACTTAGTTTAGTACTCACATGCTGTGACAGCCGCTTTCTGTCCGTGTGCTGTGCACCCAGAAAACCGTATATCAGAAGTTTAAACTCATATGATTTAAAACACATGATTTCCGCGCAATAAACATGCTAATCAGAACCTAAACAGATATTTTTTAGCAGGTACCAGCTGTAATAGCGCAGCTCTATTCTGGAAAAGGGGGCGGGGAGCAGCAGCTCATTTGCATTTAAAGAGACAGGCCCGAAAATCAGCGTGTTTCTGCTTCCATTCAAAATAGGCATTTTCAAAATTATATAATAAATGATCTGTGGAGTATTTTGAGCTGAAACTTCACAGACACATTTTGGGGACACCAGAGACTTATATTACATATTGTAAAAAGGGGCATAATATGTCTCCTTTAAACAAATCAAAATTAAAACAGAATATAATATATATAAAAAGCTAATTCAAAATATCAATAAAAACTATAACAGTATATAAATACTTAAATAACATACACAAACATATTATCAAATATGATTTTTTATTTTTAGTTAATTATTATATTATTTTTAATATAAAACTATATAATAAATTATTTAAGTTTTAATTGTAATACATTTATATATATTTTAAATTACGTTTCTTTGTTTTTGTTGAACATAAGCATCCTGTCGTTTTCCCATGCATCCCTCTCCTCTAACTATGCACAGAAATGGCTTATTCCTGTCACTGGTCCCAATTTAGGTCATTAAAGTCTGATCATAAATGTACTCTATCCGATATAGAATCTCTGATACAACTTTCTGTTCCTTTGCACCTCCAATCTTTAAAGCGTGCATGATTTATCCAAAGACCGTTCCGCTTCCAACACTACCAAAGTCAAACAAGGGTAGAGCTGAAAAAAACCCCATACACAATGTAATTGCTTCTCTAAATGCTGTTCACCTCCAACTCACAATAAATCTATCACGGCTTAATGGCGAATGTTCAAAGTGTCGTATTCTTTTAAAAGAGAGAATGCAGAATATGGGGTGGACAGGAAGGGGAATGGAAAGAGAAAGAGAGAGAAAGACGCTTGCGGGCATAAGGCAGAATACTGAACGTTAAAGTGGCGCAACTTGCCCAGAGAAAACAAGCAAGAGGAGGATTGGTGATGCTCCGAGCCCTGACAGATCTGATTGAGAACGAGAGGATAAAAGAAAACAGCTAAGTCATGGAGCAGAGCAGGGCAAAAGGCTCAGACTGGGCTGTCACACGCAGCTGCTGTTCGGAGCGCTGCACACACATGCATACAAAACACAGGAAGATATGCTATCTCTCCAGCACAATCTAATTATGCTTCCCTATAATAAAACAACCCTCTCAATCAACTCCTGAAAGGCCCTGACATAAATTTCAAACACATCCAGCCAGGAACAGAAACTCCACAGCTCACCAATATCAATTAAACCTTTATGTGAAAAATGTATGTGGACCGTGTCAGATAATTTAGTGTTCGTGGAATGAAAAATATTTAAATTAATATTCATCAAAACTTTTGATTGCAAACTTAGCCAAAAAACAAACCGAAAACAAAAAACAAAGACAACTGTCAAAATATACAAATATGTGACCCTGGACCACAAAACCGTCATAAGAGTCAATTTTTCGAAATTGAGATTTATACATCATCTGAAAGCTGAATAAATAAGCTTTCCATTGATGTATGGTTTGTTAGGATAGGATTTGGCCGAGATACAACTATTTGAAAATCTGGAATCTGAGGCTGCCTTTAAAGTTGTCCAAATGAAGTTCTTAGCAATGCATATTACTAATAAAAAATTAAGTTTTAATATATTTACAGTAGGAAATGTACAAAATATCTTCATGGAACATGATCTTTACTTAATATCCTAATGATTTTTGGCATAAAGAAAAATCTATAATTTTGACCCATACAATGTATTTTTGGCTATTGCTACAAATATACCCCAGCGACTTAAGACTGGTTTTGTGGTCCAGGGTCACATATCTTGTAAGTTCCACAAAAGAAAGAAAGTCATACAGGTATGGAACAACATGAGGGTGAGTAAACGATACAATCCAAATTGTTAGGGTAAACTATCCCTTTAATTTCATTGCTTTCATTTACTATTCCTTCTGTAAGGTGTCACAAAAATATTTCTTTAAAAATAAATTCTCACAAAATCAAGAAAATAATCTTTAAATCTTGAATATTGACATAAAATGGATAATGCATACTTGTTTGTTTTTACCCTGTGGAAGACTGACATGATCTGAAAGTGATTTGGTCAGGTCTATGCGTTATACCCACACACGTCACCTCAGACCTCGCAGATGGTACCTTTTTTAAAGTACCTCGTGGTCAGAGTGTGTGGCAGACAGCAGAAAACTTCAAGTACTTCAGCTCTCCAGAGAGACATTAGGACTGTGATAAACAGCCATGTTTCAATCATTTACAGCAGCGAGAGGCAAAGGGGGGGAAGGAAACAGAGCGAGGGAGGAGGAGAGAAAGACATTGCTCTACGAAGCCAGAGCAATAAGCGAGGTCATTATGTTTAGAAAAAAAGAAAATTACTTTGTGATCTACTGAATTTATCTAAATCTTAGTAACAGTATTATTTCCTCTGACCATCCATCAATTGATCAAAAAATTAAAAATAAACTCATTATCACTTCAATAATGGACATAAAATAAGTGCATTACATAGACTCAGAAATAAAGGTTCCAAAAGTTTTATTTTTTTTGTGCAGCAATGCCATAGTAGAACTATTTTGGGTTCCCCAAAGAACCTTTCAGTGAACAGTTCTTAAAAGAAACACTTTTTTTATTAGTGTGAAGAACATCTGAATGGTCTAAAGAACCTTTTTCCACTAAAAATAACTTTTTTTGTACAACTGAATGGTTTTATGGATGTCAAAGGTTCTTCAAGCAACCATAGATGCCAATAAAGAACCTTTACTTTTAAGTGTGCATTATATTTTTAGCACTGACATACAAAACTTGCATGTAACACAACAAACAAATGTGTGCTACGAAACACTAGCCCACCTGAGTCTGCCATCTTCAGCCGCCGCTCCTCCAGGGATGATCTTTGTGATGAAGATCCCAGGATCATCGCCGATGTGAGGGTTATCTGTTCCACCTGCTATACTAAACCCCAACCCTGAGTTACCCTGAGGAGACACACACACACACACACACACACACACACACACACACACACACACACACAGAGGAATATATGAAAGATGGACTGGCCCTATATTAGACCTTTGCCTCAGTGAAAAGAGCCTGAATAACAGAACCACAATAGAATGAACGAAAAGAGAGAAGCGAGAGAACATTATTTTTGTAGGAGGTGCACTTTGCTACCCATGACTCATCAGTGTTTACAGTTTGGTACGCCATGCGCCTCTGAGCAGCACAAACTCACAAATCAAAACCTGTCACAACTGTGGGCTACAGCCACATTTAACATCTCTGAGATGTAAATAGACTAACAGGCTAATATTTTGAAGTGAATTGTTTATGATGGGACTCTCCAGGGTGCTGCCTTGGTATAATACACAGGCTTTTAAGCTTTAAACAAAGTGGATCATAAGGAGAATTCATCTTTGCTGATTAGCAAAGGTTGTATCTGCTTTATAGAACAGCAAAGTTACGAAAATGCAATACCAAAACTTTAGCATCAGGGTGGAGAGATGGTTTTAAAGTGAAAGAAAGAGAGAGAGAAATGGGTGACAATAACAGATCAGCCCTAGCAGCAGAGTTATCGCCTCAGCTTGTATCCAATTTTCTAGCTTGTAATCTCAGTTGTGTCTGCAGGAGCCCCTGAATATACACTCTCAGCCTCCTGGCTCCAGGGTCGGACAAATCTGCGCTCCCTCTGGTCTAGTTGACCTTTGCTATTGTCCGTGCTCTGTGTCTAGTCATGTGGATCCGACTGCAGCTGCCAGAATGTCATCTGCAGCCGTCTAATTCGCTCTCTCTTTCCCTCTCTCACACTGCCTCTACTGTGCACCCCAGGCTTTCACTTGCAAATAAAGCATATACAGTGGCCCAATTAAGAGGGTTCTGTGAAATCTGTCCAAATTAAAGCTTCAGTAATAGTTTCTAATAGTAATTCGAAGAAAACATTTTAGATGAAGTATTGCATTGACAGAAGACTGTTAATATTATGGTCAGGCAATTTCCCTTTTTTGAGAGCTTTTCCACATAGTGACTTTTGTGACATTACTAATCACAAACTAAGATCATTCTGTAACTGGTCATGTTTGATGGTTATGTTTCAAGATCATGCTCACAAGGCAAGCTGTGAATGACTGGATTATCAGGCAGAAGAATCCACACAAGCATAAAATATGACGTGCTCAACTCAACTCTGAGTCTACGTATCTATGGATGTGTACTGTGAGAGAGAGAGACAGACACTTACCCGCTCTAATGTAATCTCTTCAAATTCATATTCAATTTCTGTCCCATTTACCTATTGGAGGGGGAAAAAAATCCCATTAGATATGTTCGGAGATGCAATTCAAAGAGGGTATTAATCATTTAACCGTCACACGAAATATCTAACTGTGATGCCACAATGACATCCTAAACCGGCAACAGCTAAATGGTGTGGAAAGAGGTTCATAACAGTTCAAAACATTTTGTGAGAGCTAAAGGACTAAATTGAAACCTCTGAGATTAATGATATGTCAAATAACCTCTTAAAAACATCAGCATTCAACTCATTCTCCTTGAATGAATCAGGAACGGGGCTCTCATACATCTTGAGCAGACGTTGAGCCTCGTATCTATTCAGTTCACCGCATGAGCTGTAATTGTCTAAATGTGAGTTCGGACACTATAATCCATAATCATTTACCTGCTTGTACAATGGGACCAGGCCTCTGGGGCAGACATGCTGGCTTAAGCAGGCCTTTGGAAGCTCACATTAAACTGGTGAGTCACTGCAAATGTGGCACCAAACAAACTTGCGAATGTACGATGTGCTTGAGCGCGTTCATCCACACAGCTTGTGCAAACGATGCAGAGCGGGTCATGTTTCCATGACGACTGTTTGACTACAATGCAGGAACTGGGCACTTTTAAGCAGAAGCTTTCCCTTTATAGAGTTTTGGCTGATGGAATGGCATATTTTTACGCCCATCGCAGTGATTAAACACGGAATATCCCTTGGGCCGCGACATAATAAGACTCGGTTTCTTCAAAACACACCCACGTGGACTAATTAGCACTACGGACTATAACCACTGTTATTCCTGACAGCTAATGGAAAAAAGGCGTTGTTAAAAGTAGGCAGAAAGGGTCATTTTGCTGAAGCTAGGCGGATGTTATTTAACAGCTACACTGACTCAGTAATGCTTTATTAATCTTGTCGTCCCCCTTGATTATCTTTAGCACTCGTTCTAGATGAGCTCTGTTCCCACTACAGTTACAAAGGGAGCACAGTGGAGGCTTCATAATTAACAGCACTTAACCAGATTTCTCAACAGGTCTAAAACTAGGCAACAGTGGGTTGAGATTTAAACTGTAGTGTCTACTGAATATTCATTGTTTGTGCATATTCCAATTGCAGTATTTTAACTCCGTTTCAAAATGAGTGAATTGTCTTTTCATCTATTGTCTACATATGCAGCCATTTTCTAAAGCAACATCATGGAATTACACAAATTATATTTTTTTAGACTGAGTTTAATGTTAACATGTTGCTAAGCTAACAATGCAATACTCTAAAAAGTACACAAAATGCACAAGCAAATACTCAGTAAAACAGTGCATTTGTTTTTACTTAAGAGAATCTATTAATACTTTGTGATATCAAATAAAAGACGCCTTCAATTCGATTTTTTTATGTTTTTAAGAAAACGGAAGAAGTGCTCATCAAGGCTGAATCGATTTAATCAAAAACAGTAATATTGTGAAATATTGTTACAATTTAAAATAACTGCTTTCTATTTTAATATATTTGAATGTAATTTATTCCTGTCATAGTTTAATGCTCAAGAAACATTTCTACTTATTATTAATGTTGAAAACAGTTGTGCTGCTTAATATCTTTGTGGAAATAGTGGTGCATTTTTTCAGGATTCAAAAGAGCAGCATTTATTTGAAATATAAGTTTTTTTAACACATGTATTCACTGTCACTTTTGATCTAATGTATTCTTGCTGAAAAAAAAGTGTTAATTTCTTTAAAGGGGTCATATGATGTTGCTAAAAAGAACATTATTTGGTTTATTTGGTGTAATGAAATGTGTTTATGCGGTTTAAGGTTAAAAAAACACATTATTTTCCACATACTGTACATTATTGTTTCTCCTCTATGCCCCGCCTTTCTGAAACGCGTCGATTTTTACAAAGCTCATCGTTCTGAAAAGCAAGGTGTGCTGTGATTGGCCAGCTATCCAGTGTGTTGTGATTGGCCGAATACCTCAAGCGTGTGACGGAAATGTTACACCCCTTACCATACTGTGATGCCGTGTCCGGGCACGACATGACAAAACCAGTAAAACCCATTACAAACGAGGCATTTGTTGCATCCAGTGGGGACATAATTAGATTATAATGACTTATACTGTCTTTATATGCGTTGCGTATCACGCCGTGTAAACATAAAACCATGTCTGCATTTGTGATCGGAGAAACGACAAACAACAAGTGCTACTCTACAACTGCTCAAAACTTGCGTTTGAATCGTCAGTGGCAAATTCTTTAAATATGAAAATGTACTTACAGGCTGTGTGTCAGAAGCCCAGACTGTCCTTGCAAAGTTGGAATTGCCCCACTTTATAGAAACAGACACCGGCATTGTAGGCTATACTCTCCCAGGAAACAGTCCTCGTCCTCGTCCTCCAAAAAATGCGCTGCACACATCTGAATATTTGGGTTGAACTGTTCCGGAACAGTGTTATAAATACAACTTAGCCACTGATTTCTAGTTGTGTCCTCTTTTGGAAGGCCAAACAAAGTAGTTTCACTTTCATAACGAAACACAAAGCATCTCCACAACATGGCAGCAACAATACTACAGCGAGAATCAAAGTTACACCTTCTTTATTTGTGTGAACATTTGGGCGGCGTTATGCAAATCTTCCCACATCGGGACGTAGATGGGGGCATGTTAGAACGAGCCATTTTAGGTAGGCGTGGTTGACTCTTAACTTTTATAAAGATTATCTCTTTGGATTTGAGACTTTAGTCTTTGCAACTTTACAGATCTTCTTTATGCACCAAGAGCTTGTAACACTTCAAAGAGAAAGGAAAAATTGAAATCGCATCATATGACCCCTCAAAAAAAAAACATTAACTTTTAAATGGTAGTGTACCATTAGTGTGTATGTAGTGTATGTCTATTATAAACGCTGCCTTAGATTTTGCTCAAAATAAGGTATCTTATGGCTCTTTTCCACTATGTGGGACGACTCGGCTCGGCACGGCTCAGTACGGTACGACACGGCACGGCTCGGCTCAGCTCGGTTTGCGTTTCCACTGCAGTTCAGTACAGCTTTAGAGTGGGCAGGATTATTCCCATGTCGTTATAGTTCCACCGCCTGCGACTCCTGAAAATCTATTGCTGCGACTCCTGAAAATCTTTTTCATTCCGCGTCGCCCTATCAAGCTCGCTGGATTCGATCCTTCGCTGGCTGTGCTGATTTAAATCTAGTGGTTCTGTTGAGTTTGTGTCGCAAGTTCAGTGATGCAGGTAGTGACGAACCTCTCCAGCCAATCCGTGATCAGCAGAGTTTACACGTCACGTTTTGGTTGTAGGGTATCAGACCGAATCAGACAATCTAAGATATGGTCAAAACATGGTTGAAACATGAGACGAATTCCACAGAGGCCCAAGACAACAGGATGTTCATAAATCAGATCCTGGCCCCAAGCCTGAACCAACTAGCAGCTTTGAGTAGCTCACAGCATTTAAACAAAAGAACACTTATTGACAATTCCAAGGAGATTGTCAATTTTGGAGCAAGTAATCAAGATTAAATGGTCAAAGAGATGACCACATGACCCTCACGTGATAGTAAACGCAGTCACGAGCCCCGTAAATTGACTTCCCCCACCTCACGACAGAGAACAGACTAAAATTCCTTACAGACATTTTAAACTCTCTGGTCTTCACAGAACGTATCCTTACGTCCACAGAATGCCAAAGAAACTTCATTTCCATGTAAATATGTATCTAAATGACACTAAAAGGACTGGTGACCAACTAATAATTGCTACGCATAACTCCATATTATGTATAAACTGCCGACCTTGTTACCGTGCTAATTAATAGTGTTTTCACTATATGTTGGATACAAATATCCATTGCAGAATTGATGTCATACGTCTCAGTGATCAGCCGTAAAACAGTGATTCTGTCCTAATTCCCTTACATATTATTGGTGGAGTTCCCTTTAAAATCTTAAATTATTCCCTTTGAGCTAAATTGACCTGTTTCCCTTACATGGTAATGGTCATCAAATTAAATATGGAATCTTCTCTGACTAAGGTCTGCTGCACTCCTTTATGTACCTTATTACATCTGACAGCTTCACACACTCTTGCATTTCTTCAACAGAATCATCAACAGATGGAGACATTTCTCATTTTTTTCATCACTCCAAAGAAAAATCTGTCTTTTAAGCATGATTTTCAACTAGCCTTGACAATTCCTTGATAAACAGCACAAAGCCCACGTAACATTTAACCTAAGGCAAATCTACACTAAAGCAACCAAGGTTCCTTTTAATAAAGTGAACAGAAGATACTGTGCAGGGTGAGTGAATGTGTGTGTGTGTATGTGTGTGTGTGGAATAAATGTATTGCATGAATACATGCATAATGAGCTTGATTTGGTCTTTACTGCAGCACCTCTCTCTTTTGTCTCTGGAGTCATGTCGAGTCTTTTTATCTCCATAAAGATGACTTGATAACTATTTTACAAGGTGATGAATTTGTATGAGTGTATACGATGTGTAGTCCACCCCTAAATAAAATCGTCACAGATTGTAAAGAGATTGTATGAAAACAAAACTCAGATAGATTGAAGATTAAGTATGCAAATCTAAAACACAGTATATGGTAAATCCCAGTGAAGTCATATCAAACATTTTAGGTTTACAGCACACTAAATACTGTAGTAATGACTTTTCTCAAGTTCTCAGCGGAAAAAAAAAAGGTCAGTGAATCTGTTCTACTTTAGATATTTACATTTTGGGAGCACAGAACACACGCACACAGTGTGTTTATAGGCTAAACTCAGAGTGAACACCTGCTTTACTGGAGTAATCCATCAGTGTTTTCTTTTCCCAGAACTCCATCTTCTCTTGCTTGTTCTCTTGTATTAGGATATTAGGAGAAGGTCTATCAGAGACAGATTGCTGCTTAAAGCAGCTCATAATCATCGTAATCTCACACATACTCCAACACATGCCCACAGTGGGCTTTAAACTGAGAACAGCAGGGAAAAGAAGGGAGAAAAGCAATTAAACCGTCTTAACAGCATTAGGTGTGTTGCTGGATACTGGATGTCATGGTCGATCACGCGTTATTGACGGAATTACGGCGCTTTGACTAAAACACGGCGCATCCACAGTGATCTGGATATGCCTTGATGTTAATATTTCATTACTGAGATGCAGGCAGAGAAACAAGAAATAAATGAAATTATCCTCAGTGAACGTGAAGGGTGTGTGTAAGAGGCATGTTCAACGGAGGAGATTCTTCTAATGAAACAGAGCAATAGAGAGATATTTTCCCTGATGTAACAGAGGAAGAGACCTTTTAAATCGTCACTTAATCTCATTGCCGTTTAGGAGAAACAACTGAGTGGTTAAAATTATCTTATTTGTGATTTATCTTTCCTATGGGCTTAACAAACAAGCTGAAGCAGAACAAAAAAGAATGTTTTGGGTTGTTCATAAATGGCTGGCCATTTCTGTACATGGTCAAATGACTTCATTGCAAAAACAGGAAAAAACACAGACGATTATTTTGGAGTTTGCAGGAGACAGACAAAACCTGACTGAAGGTTGACTGAAGGTCAAGCTGTGTTGTTAGTGTGTCTGTGTCTGCGAACTCTATGCACTTCGTGCCGAGTGCTTATCGCTTTGTGTTGGTGTCTGATTCAACACTGCTCTCCCCCTCCGTGTTCTTTCATTCACTTCAATCACCTGTTCTGTCATATGCTCAAATCGTGATGTTTCTTCTGCATTTATCTACCTCCTTCACTCTGATCTAAAACATACGAACAGGCAGCGACTTCCTAAGGCAGCATACTAACTGAAATGGCATCTTATAATTAACTGATTTGGAATAATCTACATAGGTACCAAGCAAAATATGTTTATTTGATCCAATTCCTGTTTTAAACCATTCATCAAATCTCTCTCATATGCTCCACCAAAAAAACAGTTGACTCCATATATTAATATTTCAAACCCCTAAAAGAAAAGCCTGTGCTAATCTAAACCCGCTGATAATCAGTGGCCTCCTTATCTGGTTGATTTATGAAACGCCATCATTCATTGAATATGTTGATCGTATTTGTGCAGAGTGATAAATTACACTAAATTTATGAAACGCAAAAAAAGGATGTCAAACTCATTCACCACTCAGTCTATGAGGGCACTGATCTGATCAAGTGGGTGATCTGCAATGTCACAGCAGTGCATAATGTCATGAACATGCAATAAATAAATGAAGAATCAAAACTCACGTATGGTACAGATTCCAAAGTGTCCGTGTTGACAATAATTGGGGCAGGACTTGCCTGTGAAAAGAGAGAAAGGGTGGGCAAGAGGGATGGACGGAGAGGAAAACAGAAAGAGATAAAGATCAGAGTGGATTGGAGATGCATGAACTGGCCCAGATTTTAATAAGGGATACAGCAGTGCATGATGGGCACCGCTGAGCTCACAGATGCCATGATGAAGAACACAACTTCAAATCGACAGTCGACAGCAACACCCACTGAGATGGAACACAACGTATTTACAGCACACACACACACACACACACACACACACAGAGATCGATTAGATGAAGGATGAAAAAACAGCATCATTTAGGAGTATGATCATTGCTAGAAAAAAAAAAGTTCTTATGAATGTTGAAATTGTTTATGTCTCTCCCTGTTTCTCTCTGGCGCTATTTTGCTAGCTTCTGATGACAACACAAAGTCATTAATTTCTCCCACACAGCAGCGAGGCCAGAAATCTCGGTAGGTGGATATCTATTCTGTACCTTCTCTGTAATTTTATTGAGTGTTGTGAAGTGTAACCCCTTCATTAGCCTTTATTAGAAAATATTAGCTCATTTTACACAGCATAATGTACAGCTGCACAATTCAATGTGCAATAACTGCATACTTAAGCTAAATTTGACCTTTATAGGTAATAATGATATCTGTGGTGCTGGAGGCAAGAATAAATCATGTGAACTACTGCAAAGTGCAAAACAAAACCTGACAAATACATTTTTCAAACTATATATATATATATATAAGAAATATGATGATACGCAGACACAATTATTTTTTATAATTAAAAATTATTATTATTTGAATGGGTAAATATGCAGTCAATTTGGGTGGACCTTATATGACCTCAAATATGAACCATATGAACCAAATTCAGATATAAGTGACAAAGACACAAAAGTGACAAAGACATATGTAATGTTACAAAATATTTCTATTTCAATAAATGGTGTTCTTTTGAACGTTCTATTCATCAAAGAATCCTGATTAAAAAAAAAATCTGTATCAGGGTTAATATGGTTAAATATTAAGCAGAACAACTGTTTCATCATTTATATTAATAAAATAATGTTTCTTGAGCACCAAATCAGCATTTTAGAATGATTTCTGAAGGATCATGTGACACTGAAGACTGGAGAAATGGCTGCTGAAAATTCAACTTTGTCACCATAGGAATACATATTTTAATACATAATAAAAAATAAAACAATTTCTAAACATTTTGATGTACTAATATTTCACATTTGAAAGGTGTTTACACCAAACAGTTCATTATATGCTTTGCCTGCACAACTGAATGTCTTTTAAAAATTTTTCTATTGTTCATTTTGATTTATTTAATGACAAAGTTATAGAGGAAAGGGACTAGTCTCAGAAAGCACTCGAGCCTGCATCATTTGCATTAGTCCCACAGTTCATCAAAGCAGCACATGCTCAACTAATGGCAGGCTTTCTGTTTATCTGACCAATGGCAGACCTGTGTTTAGGAACCCTAATTGAAAAAAGTCATTATTTTTGTAATTCTGTTTGTTGCCACTAGAGGCACACAACATTTAACAAGTAATGAAAGGTGGGCTAGCACACAACACAAACTCATTCAGCTGGAGGCCGTGAGGCTTATCACAGACGCATTAGCATTCAGAGATGACCTACTACACAAATCCCCAGGGGAGATGCAGCCGGCGACTAAAGATCGATCGACAGCAGAGATTGAGGCTGTCCCTGCTTACTGCACACTGTCTCTAATTACATCAATACATCTCCCGCCTTGAGATCTATAGCCTCAGTCACTGAGGGGTCGGAGAACCAGAGATATGTTGAAAAGCACATGGCAAAAACCTCATTGACCCTATAAAGCCTACTGTATCATATTTGATGTGCAAAGGCCTCTAAATTATCAACATGATCAAAAACAATCTACTACATGCCTTCTGTCATCTGATTGATAGTTTATACTTTTTTTAGCAAGTAAACTGGCTTTTAGTAAATGTTGGGTGACCATAAGTGCTCTTTTTCCCAGACACTTCCTGGCCAGGATTTCTATATTGCCTAAAATATCCAGGTTTTGGCTTTGTTTTCCTGTTTTCATACTTGCTTTCGACTTGAAGCAGCGCTGTGTAGACCGGTTGGTGTATGACATCAAAGTACCGTGAGAGCTATAAAGAGCAGATGCTTCGGAATCGTTCTCACGTTACTTTGATGTCTAACACCGATCGGTTTGCGGAGTGCTGCTTCAAGTCGAACACAACACACATAATATGTCAGCATATTTGCATCACTTTGACCATTCTCTGTAGATCATATGTCAGTCTTTACAGGGTTCAAACAAACACAAAATGTTTGCATCTCAAACCTTAGTGGCAAAACTTTTAAGTACACACTGCGGGCATCTCCCACACAAGGTGTTTTTGTAATGAATGACATGGTGGGATCAATAACAGAAATGTGCCATCTAGCTGGAGCTATTATCTACTGAAGAGGTTCATCACGGCGTGGCAGACAAACATTAAAGAGATAAAAGAGATAATTGCAGCGTTATCTCAAAATATGACAGTTTAATGGTCCGAAATAAAAAGCAAACAGAACGTAATTGAGCAAAAGCGAAGTTTAATGTCTCCCTGAATGACAAAGAGCAATATTGGCCATTTCAGAAAGTGAGTCATAAAGAGGGCATCCTCTGAGACACATACACTCAGAAAGATGACTCCAATTTTCAACTAGGATGACACTGCGAAACTACTACTCATAAATGTGAAGACAGCTCTTGCATATTACAGATTTCGATTTCTATTAAATTATCATGAATGTTATGTTGATATTCTGAGCTATATAATGCTAAAGCCATATTTTAATTTGAATCTGTCTTTGTTAAAACATTACATGCTCCCGAGGTGGTATAATAAATAAATACAACTGCATTCATCAATATGCAAATGATATGCAGATTTATTTTAGATTAACATCAGACACCCACAAGTTCATCAGCACTCTGTCTGACAGTATGTTATTAACTCTATGGATGTGGGTGTCTATTAACTTTTCTGCAGAGATAAATATAAAAACCTTGACTGATTATCACTGAAGAGCAAAGATGACATCAAGAAATGATGAGTCGTTTTATCTTTATGAGGTTTTGGAGTATTTGGTGACCTCACAATGAAACTGAATATGGTTCAGAGTAATTTAAGATAGTGATAGGTAGTAGTTATTATGTTCTTTCAGCAAGTAATCATTACAAAATAGCACTGTGGTGCTATCATTGTACAATGATATATATATATATATATATATATATATATATATATATACATATACACACACCATCTATTGTCTACTTTGTATGTTGTGCATTTTTTAAACATTTTTTGTATATTGTTATTTGCTATTTACTTATCCTATTTTTATTCTTTTTATTATCTGTCTTGTCTTGTCACTGTCATTCTTTTTGTGCTGTGGAAGCTTCTGTCACCAAAACAAATTCCTCTTATGTGTAAACATTAGGGATGGAAAGATTCACAGATTCGCATCGGCATAAAAGTTAACGATGCGATGCATCGATATTAAAAAAGTATGCATCGGCTACAAGTTGGCATTTGTATCGCGATGCATTGTTTCTAACATATTTGCATCAGTAAAAATTAAAGTCCATAAACCTTACTTGAAATAACCTAATAAATAAATCGGGGCTAAAGCGGTTCCATAAATTACTATTTAAGTTCACACAATTTCACTAATTTGTGTACACTTATTCTTAAGCAGCCCTTAATGTCGATCATGGATCAAATCGATCCACCATGGCAAAAAGCGAAATAATTTGTGCTGTTTAATGCATTTGAGACGTTGTATTTTCCTCAGTGAATAACTGACATGTCACAGGTATATTTTTCATCTGTAAATATTAGAAAGTCATTCAAATATATCTATCCATTTTGCTGTCAAGAGTGGGCGAGGCTTACGCGAGTGAAGGTACAGTATATATATAATTGTGATTATTTTAACAAAAGCAACAATAATATAATAATTGTAATAATAATAACAATTATATATAACAATTATATATAAGAACTTTGCCTGTTGAATATTAAAAAGAAATGAACAAACAAAAAATCTGGATCTCCGTGTCTGCCATGCAAATCAACTGTTCCTGCTCATTCCCAGACTGCATCTCTTCTCTCCACTTTCCCTAATTGCAGATTCAATTATTAGATTTGTCAGTATTAATATTTTTATGCTTAGATTTTTTTGGGGGGGGATCAAACTGTAACACCGTGTGTCCCAACCAGACACGACGCGATAAAAAGTATCTTTTCCATGTAGTTTTTGTCCTAACCACCCGCGACAGCGACACCTGACAATAAGCGACATGGGATTCTATTTTAGGAACGGTTTTTATTTTCTGCTACGTCGCAGAAAGAGCAATATACAAAATATGACAGTGATAATCTCAGGTAATGATTATGTGCTTTAAAAGTGACTAATGTGAGTTTGAATATTATTTTGTGTTATCTTTATAGCCAACAATGGTTTTTATTTTCTGCTACGTCGCAGAAAGAGCAATATACAAAATATGACAGTGATAATCTCAGGTAATGATTATGTGCTTTATTCAATGTTAAAAGTGACTAATGTGAGTTTGAATATTATTTTGTGTTATCTTTATAGCCAACAATAGCAACAATAGATATTTTACCTCAGATCTTGAAAATAAATAATTTATATAAAATAATTTAAAGCAAACTTGTACGTTAAAACTGAACTCACTGTGAACCAACACGTGTATTCCATAACAAAGATATCAGTCACTCACTCACTCACTCAAAACTGTTCAGTCCATTCACATTTGAATCATCTACTTTCCGTGTCCACTTTTCTTTTCTACACACTCGCCATGTTTTTGCTGTCACATCGTATCTACACTGGATGCGACAAAGCATTGCATATCATTTGAACGTTGTGTCAGTGCATTATAAATAGAATGATTGTTGCGCCGCATCCGAGACAACATCACTGAT